TAGAAGTCGGATGTGAAGTCCTATTGCCATAAAATTGTATTTAATTTGTTGTAAAATATATTATTATAATTTTGATAAAAACCATTTGGACTTCAGATATTGAACTAATGCTTATTATATGCATAGTAACGCCCACTTCGACAGGAGGTCCTAAATGCATGATTTAATTGACATTAATATTTGGTTGTTTTATGTGATGACAAGTTTCTAAATACCCGCATAATTAGGGCGAACCCTCTTATCGTAAGTTCCGTCAAAGAATTTGTTCAGAATTTTCGTTATATTCATTCCAATCATTGTTTGTCTGTTTAACAGAATATTCGTGTGATTTTATTTTAATTACTGCATATATTTATTATATTTTATAATTATATTTATTATATGCTATAATTTTTATTATATTCTATTTAATTAGGGTTTATAATAAATTAATCTATATTTTATAACAAAAATTAATTTAATTGTTTTAAACTAAAAGAAAACATATTTTTATAAATAACTCTTTATATTAATGATATGCAATAATACTCACTTCGGAGGTGTGATTGTGTTTTGCTTACATATATTTATAAAACTCAAAAATATTATAAAATATCTTAAATCCATAATAGTATACAGGAATATAATTTTATTATTGTTATTTAATTAATTGTAGAATAATTCGCAATGAATTTTTTGAACGCGTTATTAGTTTTAAACATCAATTTAATGTATAATTAGATAAGAATTAAAGCTCTAATTAATTACAGAATATTTGAAGAATCGCAAAAACATGAATAATTAAATTATTATTAAAAATGGTAAGAATTGGCTTGAATTCTATAGGAATGTTATGTAAAGAATTGAAAATATCATGTTTAATATCTTTTACAATAATATTTCATAATTTATTCAATCATTTGTCGCGAAGTAAAGAATTATTGAAAGAATGTTCAGTAAAGTGAGAGTTGTCGCCGATAGTAAGTTACCATCAATCTTTTTCTTATTTATACAGTATTAAACATACATCAAAATATCTTATCATGCTATATTTTTCTTATTTAAAACTATCAAAGTTAAACTAAGGTATGCGAGTTACAATGTATAATTTACAAGTGCTATTTTTAAAAGAACCCTGATTAAATAAAACAATACTAGCAGTGAATCTTCTTATTAAAGGTTTGTAGAATTTCCGGGAACGTTGCAATTATTTTTGTACTCAAACCAATCAATACTATACAATCAGCATATTTTATTTAATCAACATTATAATGAAGTTATTTAATTAAAGTAGTTATTATTGTTTACTTATAGCAATTTCATTGTAATTGTTTTGGTTAATTAAAAACGATATGATGATTGATCATTTCATTGAATTGTTTATTAAAACTAAAAATTATTTAAGTAAACGAGTTCTGACTGTTTCTGATAAATCTTAAAATATTCATTGACTTCAAGGCATTGAATTGTTAATTAATTCAAGTTTTAAAAGTTTAATTAGAAATATAAAAAGTAGTATTTAGTGGAACATTGACACTAAATTCATAAATTAAACATTTCTTACAATTTATAAATTATAATCTTTAAGCAAACAGTTTATTCAATAAAAAGGTTTTTCACTTTTTATAGTTTAATTACTCGTTTCTCAGGTATGTTTGAATTAACAATTTTAAAGCATTTTTTTAGTAATGTTTAGAAATGGATAAAATTTTTTATTATTGAATTTAAAAATCTCGAGATATAAAATATTTTTAAATCAATTAATATATTGGTTTGAAAGACAATTAAAATGGACGATAAAAGTAAACCAATTGATAATTCAAATAAGATTCATGTGAATCGACCAAACATTATATTTATGGATATCTATGGAGTCATCACTTCTTGGGATTTCTGTAAAAAATTACAAAATTACTGCAGAAATAATATCTCAAATTATTTGAGCACTAATTTTAAAGAAAAACGTATTGTCGACACAATTAACAAATTGAGAGAACAGGCGCTCATCGATAAGAGTGCTGGACATGACATCCCTCTTATTGAACAGTCAGATAAGCCTCAAAATGTGATCATCAAATCAGTTGAGACCAATTTCTTGTGGCAATTGGATCGCCGGCACAACACATGCAAATATCAGTTGAATTTTCTGAGCGAAAGCATTTGGAGCGAAGGCTACACCAAATCACAGCTAAAGACCCATACATTCAATGACGTTAAGAAAGCGTTAAACCATTGGAGATCTCATCAGTTTATTAAGATATACTCATACTCTTCGGCATCTTCTGAGGCGCAGAAACTATTTCTCAAATCCTCGGAATCCGGAGACTTATCGGAACACATGGCTAACCATATGATCGCTTTGGCCGGAAGTAAAACTGATCCGAGAAGATTTCAACTCGTCGTCTCTGCCTTACGTGAAAAATCCGATCCAAAGAATATACTTTACTTAACAGATGATCCGGAAAAGGCCAGAGCAGCCATCAGTGCCGGTCTCAGAGCTATTGTAGTCATACGTTCGGCGAATACAACGTATACTAAACAACAATTAAAAGGCTTACAAACAGTTTCATCGTTTGATGACATAGTGTTTGATGAGGTGACCGGAAAGCCTGCGCCCTGTTGTTAGTCTTTTAGTCTCATTTAATTCATTATAAATTTTCTGAATGTTTTCGCAATAAAAACCAATAATACAAATGAAGAATAGGTCTAAATTATATTTTTATTGAGATTCAATGAGATCTAAATAATAGAGTAATTATTTTGTAACGCAATCCAAATGAAAACGTTTGAAGAATAGCTTCAAGTGTTGGATCAGTTGGCGAGTTCTTCGTTGAGGAATTCGCTTATATGCATATATATAATCCAATACATGAGATTAAAACATAGGAAACAAACGGGAAACACCACTCGTGAGTATTTATCGATATCACTCGGACAGACGCCAAACAGTGTGTTTGGGTTTCTGGCGCCGGGAATCGGTGCCGGCGGTGGTGTTGTCGGAGTGGCGGCCGTCCCTTCCTCTGCTTCTTCTGTCGCCACAATCGACACCTTTTTCTTCGGATTGTAATCAATGGAAGGTCTGTTCATTGTCTTCGTCTCAACCATTCTGTAACGCATTTCCTATGTTTTGTTAACATTTATATAATATTAGCAAAATATATTCGCCGAGTAGTATAAGTATTACTGACCGGAACTCCGCTTATATTTCTTGGCCGCGGAATACACGGATTGAATGGCGAAGATTGGATGGGATATATGGAGGAACGCGGCTCTAAGTTGGTCTCCAAAGTGTTTTTCTGTCTGTTTTCAAACGCGATTTTAGCCAACTGTTGTGATCGCGCTTTTCTCATGGCTATCCTTTTGCCCATATATCCGACGGCCGCGTATTCCACGAGTGACGCGAACACCAGTATGAAACACGTGCCCAGAAATACGTCGATACTCTTTATATACGATATCTTAGGCAACGCCGCGTTTGTCGACGACATGAGTGTTGTCATCGTTAAGACAGTCGTTACTCCCAATTGAACCCGAGCTGGGGTTGCGTTCTTCACGTCCACACATATAACGTGTTAGTATTTGATATTGTCTTAAGTGCACACTTGTGGCGATCTTTTGTCATTCATAATCGACATAAATGTCATTTCCAAAAGATCGCCCCAAAGCAAGTATTGTTAAAATAATTGTTCAACACATACCCTATGCAACCAGAATGACACCCAACTAATAATCACTATAAGACTGGCGGGAATATAGATCTGGATTAAGTAATAACCCATACTTCGGACGAACTCTATCTCGCAAACTAATCTCGAGTAATTGCCTGTAATTTTATTAATTGAGCCAATATTTAGCATAATTAAAGAGTAGTTATATTTTTAAAATTAAATAGCTGTTTACAAACCTGTGCTTAAATATTCAGTTTTTTGTAATTGTTTGAGTCCCTTAACTTTGAATTGAGGCAATTCAACTTGGTCAGACATCCCAACCGATCCTTTGCCATCAATACCCCATTTATACATAATATCCGCCATTGAATAGCCGTCTATTAAAGTGATTGTTAAATGCATTAAAATCTATGATTAAAATAAAAGATAAAAACTTACAGCTTTCGACTTCAAGGGTACAGAGCTGTCGATCCATTGGAAAGTATTGCAAATTCATTGGACAACTCGCTGTCACTGTGAGTCTATATTTGATTTAAGGACAATGAAAAATAGGTTTTTGCTAAGCAATTGAAGACCTGATTGAGCGCAATATTTCGCCTTTGGATGTGATCCTAATGAAAGTGTTAGGAGTGGTTGCACTATGAAATTGAGCCGATTTCTCGTTGGCGAAGAACGTGTCGGGAACCCATATCCGGTCAGACACTTCTGCCCCGACATACAGGGCATCGATTCCGGGCCTCTTCTCAAATGATAGTCTTGTGTCTCTCCATCCCTGACGGAAGTAGAAGTCGGATGTGAAGTCCTATTGCCATAAAATTGTATTTAATTTGTTGTAAAATATATTATTATAATTTTGATAAAAACCATTTGGACTTCAGATATTGAACTAATGCTTATTATATGCATAGT